CTTCCCAGTTTCTTAGACAGAGCTTGACATTCATCCCCACCTGACCCTGAAGGGTGTGTGTACGCGACTGTGTGTACATAGCCATACACCTGAAGGGTGTGTGTACCTGGCATATGACTAGGAGTGTCATCGTTCTTTTTCTTTTTTTCCCCCATTTTTAGGTGGGTGGTGTGTGGGTGCCAGGGTGTCCTATGTCTGGATTTGGGTCTCTGAGGGAAACAGGATGATTCTTTCTCCTCCAGTTTAGTCTTCATCCACTTTATGGAATCATTTTGAAAGCCTAAGGATGGATATCAGGCTTCCACATTTTTTTTTTCTAAATACCTACATTTGCTCCAGTTTTCTCAAGGCTCAGCAAGACCTCTTTACTCTGCTCAAAGCTACTGAGTGTCCCTCCTTGCCACTTTCCATCACCAGCTCTGACCCCACTCAATCCTTATATCTTCCATGAAGTGACATGTGAAGATTCCACTTATTTTTTTCCCCATCTTTACTATCCTGTGACTCCTCTTTTCCTGAGGATTTAAGTGATAATTTACCTACTTACAGGTGAACATGGATTACAGGATCCTAAGTGTTATCATGCACTGTTTCTCCCACTGATCCCAGCAAAATTGTGTTTTGTAATTCAATTACGCTTGTTCAATTGGAAAGTAAATTTTTCAGAGCATTCCCCTGGAGCACCCACCATCTGAAATCCTTACATCAGCAACAATCCTCTCAGGACAGTGGAGAGGGAAAGGCTGGGCCACCAGCCCGGCTACAGCCTGCAGCATCTCATCCCAGAGGCGGAGCAAAGGCCCAGGGTCCTCTAGAGCCTGGAGGTTTGCGGTTGGCACTGTCAGGATGATGTTGTCTGAGGCCAGCTCTCCCCAGGGGGCCAGGTTCTCCTGGATATGCCTCTTCCACTCCTCCAGAGATGTCTTACCTGGGAATATAGGTTATGCAGCCTGCCCCACACCACTTTTCCTGGATTTAAATGGTAGCACTTTGACCGCATTGCGAGATAACCTGATAACTAATAAAGACTTTCCTTGCGGTAAAGTGAAACGTGAACCCCTGTCCCTGTCCCAGCCTTCTCTTAGGGCTTCAAGGACAGTGTGTACATATTTCCCAGCCCACCTTCAGTCCTCAAGTCTCACTCCCCTTCTCTCCATCACTTAGGCCCCCACCCCCCTGATGATCAGCCCACTTCCCACCTCCAGACTTGCCTCTGCTCTCAGTGCCAACCTGAGTCTGAATCCCCTACTTACCCAGCTTGAAGTAAGGGGCTGACACAGCCCCACTGATGGTGACAGACGTGGGGCCCAGTCTACAGCCAGAGGGCATGATGATGTAGAAATGGACTTCCTTGCTCTGTCCAAGCTGTACTGGTATGTCATCACAGGGGGTCGGAAGTAGGTTTTTGCTGGACTTATGTTGTCTGTGTGGCAGCCTATCTGTACCTGTGACAGTGAGTGCCCCCACAGGGTGGACAAGAGGAGTCATCAAGGGAATGATTGAATATCTGTGTGTATGCGTGTGTGTGCACGCATGTGCACATGTGTTTCGGGCCACCTGGATTCTGGCCTGCCTTGTTCCCAGCAGGGGTAGGAAGAGGAGCATTCCAGAGTGATGGTTTTCACTGGAATCAGTGGAGGATTGTTTTTCTTTACCTAATTTCTCCAAGTCATTCCTTTCTGGTCATAATTATTTCTTACTCTCTACAGAGTTTTGAAATTTTTTTCTTTGATTTAAGCAAAACCAGTCCCATGGGAAGTAATGAATCAGTGAAGACACTGGCTGTGCCCCTGGTATTTCACATGGGCCTCAGATAGAACAAGGTCAGCATCTTGAATTCATGACTGTGGAAGTGATCCCTACATCTAGGGTGGGGCTGGGGTTTGGATAACGTTTTCATAATGTGTCAGATGCTACTGGAAAGAGTAATCGGCAGAAAAGCTTTGGTACTGGGCAAAAAAGGAGGAAATATAGGAAACTAGCATTTTTTTGAGCATCTATTATGTGCCAAACTCTGTTAGTTGCTTCACATCCTGTATCCCACTTACTGGTCACAACGAGCTTAGGCTTTTCTGTGGGTACTGGGCAAAAAAGGAGGAAATATAGGAAACTAGCATTTTTTTGAGCATCTATTATGTGTCAAACTCTGTTAGTTGCTTCACATCCTGTATCCCACTTACTGGTCACAACGAGCTTAGGCTTTTCTGTAACTACTTTTCTCATCTGTAAAGTGAGGGTGTGGACCTGCCCTGTATACGTGGTGGGGCTATTGAGTGACTCCAAAAAATTATTTAAAACAGAAGTAAAAATACTAAGAAAATGTCAAAAGTTAACAATGGGGATCAGAACGCTTTACCTTCAGTTTAGCAGTGACCGTGTCATTAGGCAGTGTAACTTCTGCAATATGTCCTTCAGGTAAGTAGAGTCCAGTACTCACCCAGGAATCACTGTTGTCTGATAAGAACCAAAGGAAAGGCTGAGATCTTCCCATCCGCATGGCTTCACCTTCATGTAGAATTCCCACAATCCTTCGCAGAGCTGCTGGATCTCCTGGTCACTCCTTAAGTTACCCAGACTGCCCTGACTCAGGTCTCCCATATTTCACTTAGAATTCATCTTAAAAGTTAATGGGAAAGAATGGAGATGGCCTTTCAAGGGGGAACGTCC